CCTTACCTGTCACCTAAGGAAGCCCCCTGCAGCAATGCAGCAGAAGGCAGTGGGCCCAGGAGGTGTGGGTTGGGGCTTCTAGGGCCAAGCCAGAGGGGAAGCACTGGGGCCTGTCACAGGAACACTACCTCCTGCTCCGTGAAGTCTCAGCTTCCAGGCATAAAAAACCTGCTCTGTATAGAAGAGCCAAATACTTAAATTCAAATTTTTTTTTCCCAAAAATGCTCTCAGAAATTGTTAAAAGCTTTTCTTCTGAAACTTTAAAAGGGGTTACCAGTACTAATAAAGAGGTAATTCTCCCTCAGCCAGTTGTGGATTTTACAAGCAAATCTGAAAACTCAACCTACCGTGTGGCAACTGGTGGGCAAACCGAAAGTCTGCACACCTGTACTCTAGAGGTCAAGAACTCAAAAACCAGCGTGGCTGGCGGCTCCTCCACACACGGGACCACTGGGCCGGAAGACGCTCCAACACAAGAATGCATGCTTCGGCCCAACGGTAAGTGAGGGAGCAGCTCAATCCAGCTTCAGCCCCGAGCAGAGCGGTCTGGCGTCTATTAACGTGTCTTCTAGCAATCTTCATCGGCCACATGCTATGCTCTTGACTAAAGCCAAGCTCTTTCCCGGTGAACAGGCTGTACTTTTACATAAATAATTCTGTGCTATACTTTTTTTTTCCCCAAGTGGTAGGTATCGTCCTACGAAGCTATTTTCGTAAACATACGATGTTCTTTTTAAATGTTACGAGGATTCTTTGAATCCACTATGACTCACGGTGACCCTATCTATGAACAACTAGCAGAAATGCTGCCTTCCCTGAGCCACCACCACCATCCCCCACACTCAAGGTCACTGTTGCAGTCACCACACCAGCCTTTCTTGTTGAGGGTTTTGCTCTCCTTCACTGACTGACTCTCTGCTTTCCCAAGACTGGTGCCTCCTGCCGATGTGCCAAAAGTAAGGGACATGGAGTTTCACCATCCTTGGCTCGAAGGAGACCTTGACCACACTTCCTCCAAGTCAGATGTTCTGTCAATTCACGGTACAGTCCACTCTTCACCAGCACCACATGTCAAAGGTGTTGATTCTTTATCAGTCTTCTTATTCACTGTCCAACCTTCACATGAGCATAGCATGCTTATGTAAATATTGTCGGAAGGCCATAGCTACACAAAAAAATGTGTAAACTTGTACACACCATGAGCAGAAATAAAAATCAATTACTTAAAATACATTTCCCTGGGTTTCGCATTAAAGTGTCTCGGACTTTTCAAAGCATGTGTAGGTCCACTACCATATTTGAAGGCACTGATGCCACAAATACCAATCTAACTTCTGGTTCTGGAAAAAAAAAGATTTTCATGTACATATTTTGTCCAAATATTATTATTTGTTCCATGAAAGTCAGAACTAAGACTTTTAGTAGAGTGTCAATTTTAAGCCAACGAATAAACAGTTGGCTTGAAAAAGAATTAAATTGACATGCAAAGCATTTGCTGCTCAGCCAGATACTAAAAATAAAAGCAGATTCTGCCAACATGGAAAAACTTGTATTATTTTAAGTGGGCTCTGAATTTGACAACCAGGCTACATCAAGATAATTTCCCTAAATAGGGCCTGACATAAAATCATCCAATTGTCTTTTATTAAAATAACTATAATAGCCATCCTACACCTCAACCTTAGACAAAATTTCTTACAGCTGGCAGAACACATTTCTCTAAAAAATTGTTATCTTTACAAACAAACAAAAATTTGGACATTTGAAAATGTTATCTATTTTAAGAATGAAAACAGTCTTCTCAAAGAATGAATTCACTCAAATATTTACAGGTAATATTTTAGACAAAAGGTAGCAAAGAAACCAGGAGATTTTAAATGGGGCGTCCTAAGTTATTATTCGCCGTTTAGGTAACACTTTATGCCTGTCCTTAGCCAGCCTCCCCCATACCTGTCTGTCTGAAAATGAAGTGTGTTTAAAATATGGGAGTTAAGATTTACAACCAGTTGCAGAAACCTGTTTAACTACTGATTTACAGTCTTGGCGAGGTATTTAACTGTCATCAGAACTAATTATAGCAAACCTGAGATTATACATTCAAGCTCTCCTTTTGGTGAAAGAAATAGAATGTTCTGCTGAAAATCAGAAACATCCCGAGGCTCCCCGACAAGAATGCACTCCCAACGTTCCTCCTCAGAACCAGTGCTACAAAGCTCCAAATTGCTGTTCTGCACTAAGTTGTTTTAGCCTGAAGTACTTGGGCAGTAAATCACGGTTACATTAATGCCATACCAATGGCCTGAAACATATTAATCTCAGTTAACAATAACTGACGCTCACTCTACTAATCCCAGTCAGGCACTCTGGTGGTAGTACATGTTGAAGTATCAGGGACACAAGTTAGATCTAGAATCAGTCCTTATCTCCCTGTGACCAGAACAGAGAGACCACTCTGAGAAGCAGGGCAGTCTCGGAATAAGGTCTCCAAGTGGCTGTGTCAATGAATAGAATGTCTGGTTGACATTAAAGCTGGTGAAACAAGACTAGTCCTACATAATGTGCTTGCATGGCCACCCCAAGCTAGTCAGTGTCTTCTCCTCCACCATCCCCAGTCACCCACCTCCAATACTTCACATCCTCACCTTACACCCCTTTACGAGATAAATCAGATGTGTGTCTTTATGTGAGCACCCTGAGGAGGGCCCTGGGGCAAGTGCTGGCCTTGAACAGGGTGAAGAAGGGCTCTCAACATCAGCCTCTATAGGAGGCCAGGCTGCCAGGAACCCTCAGCACGAGAGGAAATGTGAGGCCTGCCCACACTTGACAAAAGGAAAATGCAACAGAGGCAAATAAGACGTGCTCATCCTGGGGTGACAAACATTTAATGTTTCAGACAAAGACACCAGATCGTGAACTGGATTTGTCGTACATAATGGACTTTTAGAGGAAAGGCTCTTTACTAGAACTTTGTCTTCTTTTTAAAAAAACAACAACACAAAACCCTCATTGCCATCAAGCTGATTCTGACGCAAAGCAACCCTAATGGGCCAAGCAGAACTGCCCCAGAGGCTTTTCAAGGCTGGAAATCTTTACAGAAGCAGAATGCCTCATACTGCTTCCACAGAGCAGCCAGCACATTCAAACTTAAGTCAACACTTAAGACACAGCAACACCAGGCAGTGTTCTTGCATGTACAGATGTTTGAAATGAGATATCTTAGGTAAGCAAAATACATTTATATCAAGAGAACAGAGAATATTAATTAAAAAAAATTAGACTTTACACATTCAGTCTGGATACCCTTTGATACTGGAGTTTGGTGGCCTAGTGGTAAAAGGCTCTGCTGCAATTCCCCCAAAAAATGTGGTTCAAATCTCCCAGCTACTGTACGAGAGAGGGATGGGTAATCTCCCAAGCGATTTCCTGCCTCTGGAAACCTGCGGGAGGGTCAGCTATGAGCTGGTTCCTACTCGACGGCACAACAACTCTCTGATAATGAATTCTGTAAATCAATCCCCATTCTCCTAAAGTCCTGCTTTCCCAACACAATACTAGCTTTTCTCAACTATATGGAAATACTTCCTTTCTCAAGTAGTAATCAGCTATTCACTTATTATAGAGAGGAAACATTAAATAGGCCATAAATTAGTATAATGCTGTAACTATCTGTCTAAAAACAACAAATCAATAATTATTAGTCAAAACAACAAATAAATAATTATTAGTCTGTAAGAGCATCTGCACTGCTAACCCAAAGATCTCACCTTTCTGGCAGTTAGCATGTACCAAAGGCTCCAGGAGACAAACCCGGGCAATCCCTTCTCACACTATCTCCAGCCTTGGAAACCCCACAGTCAGTCAGCTAGGGGTTGGTTCCCACTTGACAGCAAAGAGTTTGGGGTTTTTTTAAATTATAATCTGACTCCCAGGTTCCTGAACTTACATTAGCCACCAGGAGATGGTTATATAGGACAGTTAAGACAACAGAATCTCTGAGGTAGGCTGAGGTTGGGAGGTAAACTACTGACCACCACAGTGAGCTCTGCATTAGGTCTACTGTGCAGGGAGACACCCCAAGTCCTGCGCCTGACAAAGCCTGAAGTCTCTGCTGGCTGCTATGTGACTTCCCAAGCCCTTCCCTGTTAGGACTCTGAAATGCTTAGCTAATGGAAATGCCTTCCCATGATGGCCATTCTTCCTTTGGCCTGATGAATTCAATCTTTCAGGGAGTAAAAACAATCACACCATGCTCTCAGAAGGTTCAAAGCGATGCTGTCCTGAGTTCTGTCTATTTAATATAATCATACCATTTTCTCTTCTAAGAACTATTTCATAATTTAAAGAATGACATGGCTGAGCGAGATATTTAGGAAGACATTTCTCAGCAGAGCTGAATTTAAATCAGCCTCCAAGTGCTGCAGTCTGTGATGGTTTTTATTGAAATATTTTATCTGAAGGTACACAAAAATTGCTTTTACCATGTGACTGTGAAACACCAACTCTACTGCTTCCCAATAAAGAGTCAATAATGACTTTTGCAACACTAGGTAATCAAAGTCATCAGTGAAAGACAGTATCAAGTGAGGCTCCCTGAGCACTTATGACCAATCCATTGTAAACAAGTATCAGCCTTAAAACCAAATTCCAACAGTGATGGTGTCAAACCGAGAAGAGACAACAAAGTATGACAGGGCTCCACCGAAGGGATAAGAAGGAAAGCTGACTTCATATTACAGGTCGACACCCAGACAGAAATTAATCCTGCCGTTCCTTTCCGTGCATATACTTAGATTTCTTATACCCATAACAGAACGCTCTGCTTCAATAGGATAAGCGCTTTAGAAAAATAGATTGAAAAGGTCTGATAATCAACTCTCAAATTTTATGCTTAATTTTTCCACTTTTCTCAGTTTCCTGGTATATTTAAGTGTAAGCAGGAAAATCTTCTGAGTAAACTGCACGCTTGGGAATCTAGACAGATCATGAGGAACCCCGGCAAGTCACATGTAGCCCATGTTGCTTTTGGTTTCCCATCTCTTCTTTGCTTCAAATCTAAAATGAAAAAAAAAACCCCACAAATTTATTTCTAAATTGTAATGATTGTTTTTAATAAAGTAGCACATTTAGTAAGTGAAATGTAAAAAAGGAAAAGAAATGTAAGTAATGTTCATATGCGCCAATGATTAACAAAATAAACACGAAACAGGATTTAAAAATGCTTCCACAGTTGTAATCAGATAAACATTCAAAGGTACAAAGAACAAAATGACATACAGACGGAGAATCACAAATTGCACTACAAGGACTTTTTAGTGTCTATGAAGTTAGGAGGATTATCATTAAAAATTTTAAACTTACCCCCATGCAAGTTTCTTCTTCTTTCGAACAACCTGTGAATTTTCAGCATCCTTTTTGGCTTTTACAAAGTTGTGGCAGGCAATAGCTTTGGCAATCTTCACACCAAGCTAGGAATTGCAGAGGAGAAAAAAAAAGAGAACACAAATTTTCCAACTAGTACAAAAATTACAATAAAAATACTCGAAAACTTGTGGGTAAGAGAATCATGTGTAGAAATGAGAAATGCACATGCTCAGGTCCCTCAAACACCAAAGGGCAGTGAACACACAGACGGCCCCTATTTCCTTTACCTCTCACCACACTGCTAGTACCAGTCTCCTCCTCACACTGAGGCCCCCGAGGGTCCACAGAGGTAGTAATGAGACCCTTGCAGCATTTTGGTAGACAGAACAGGAATTCACCCCTGATAAGACGGCACAGGCTGACAGAGACATCAAGTGCCTTTGCTCTGGGCTAGAATTACAGCAACTCAGTATGGTCACAGCGGCTATCTCCCGCTCATCAGGAGCTCTGATTGGCAGTTATAGATGTGATTAATAAAACATGGGAAAGCTAATTACGCCTTCATAAATACACTTTGTAGATGGGCAACTGCTCTTAATTCACTGATAGAAAAAGAATGAACGGGTGCTAAGCAGTAAGGCACCAGCACCCGTCAGTTGTCAGGGCCCATCTCCTCTTCACAGCCACCCCTCATCCACTGACATGGTCCTTTCCTGGAAGTCTTCACTAGCTCAACCCCAAGGCACCTCTGCTCTCTGGATCCGGATGGCCTTTAGCTTCTCTAGGAGCCCTCATGGTGCTGTGGTAAATCACTCAGCTTCCCACCGAAAGGTCATTGGTTCCAACTCAAATATGGCAGTCTGCTTCCATAAAGACTACAGTCTTCGAAACCTGATGGGCAAGTTCCATACATGGCTCCACACAGCTCTTGAGCCACAGAGCTGTTGGTGAGCAAGTTTCTCCTGCGTAAGTACAATGCCATCTTCTAGTTTCTGGTGGCTTATTTTGAAAATGACCACCTACATGGGTGGCTCAAAAGTAAGTCCGGGTCTAATTTAAAAGAAGAAAAGGTAAAAATCTCTTCCTGGTGTTCTGTGCCTTCTCTATCCCTGTACTGAGGACAGGAAGACTGGAAGCTGCTCCAGAGTCAATGGGTCTAAGCCCACTGTTTGCAGGGCCCTGCCTGGCGATGATCAGAGGCAGGGCTTATGAGCCACAGGTGAGGCAGCGAGGGCAGGCAGGCTTGACATCTGTTTCACCTCACTCTGGAGAAGAACTTCCTTTAGGGTAAACCAGATGAGCAGTAATCAAGCACTGACTCGAGTTCACTGAGCAGAGCAAAATGAGATTTGGTATTTGAGTCAGGGAAGGAAAGGGACACAGAAAGAATGGAAGGAAAGGCGAGCAAGCTGACAACTGATCCAGGCTCCCAACGGAGCCAGGGTGCTAGACAGAAAAGCCATGACGAAAGAAGACAGACTCGAGAGAGTCCACCTGAGAAGGCAGACCAGCCAGACCGCTAAATCACCATCAGCAGCAAGAGGGGCACCACCAGTGCCTTTTCATAAAGACAACATTCACTCAGCAAAGAGTCGTGAGGGTAGAGATGCTGTTGGTCAGGCATCGTGATGGAGCCACAGGCTCAACCAAACAGGGCTGACTTTCAAACTGTGGAGCTAGGGATGTGGGGCCGGCAGTCAGATGAGAATGCTTCAACACGGGCCTTATTCTTTTCATTCTCTATATACTTTCCTGGTTCTTAATCAAAGTCAATCACAGCAACATAAAGAACCCAAGGGTTATGACAGCCTCATCTAAGGAGAAAATGATCATGAAAGGGCGCTATGGTACAATTTTTCATGATATACTTGTAAAATAAGAGGGGAAGGGGGGGAAGGTGAAGTTAACCCAGCAGGTGAGGCTGGTCCACTGCAGCATCAAGCAGATCTCCCAATCTCACTAGTCCCACTTCCATTTCCTGATTCACGTGAAGTCCCTCTGGCTGGGCAAGTTCCCCTCCACTCAGAGGTGCTGGCATCTCACCGTGGACTTCTGGTTTCACGATGGCAGAGGAAGAGTAGCTGCAAAGTGTCACTCTAGCTCCCAAGTTCTCTAGACCAGAAGGGACACAACCACCTCTGTGCTCACAGCTCACTGGTCTACAGCTCACCCAGCTCTACTTGATGTCAAGACACTGGGAGAGGTGGTGCTCAGTGGGATGTTAGGTGAGAGTGAATGTACCTCTGACAAACATCCTGCCACAAAGCATCACCTGACCCTTGGCTGAAATAGCTTGCCCTTTCTCTAGCCATGTGGGATATTTACATTTAACCTCTTTCCTGTTCCCAGGGCCCAAATGATAGGTTCTAGGAACCTGTACTTTTCCATAACGCCATGTATATCAAATGCAAATAAATCATTTCCCCAAATTTCTATAAATAATGTAATGCCCTAAAGGGGGGTGGGGGTGGGGAAGACCTACCCAGTTAGTTTATCTTCTGCTTAAATTGAGCTTATACTTTGCTCGTTGATGATGTGAACTGCAGTATTGGAACCAAATCACAGCTGACCATTCAAGCAGGTTTTCAGAGGCAGTAAACTGCACAAGAGGAGGCTGCCAATCTTCTTCCTGCAGAGCAGCTGGTGGATTCAAACCTCCACCAGCTGCTCTGTAGAAGGAAGAATGGCAGCCGCCTCTTGTGCAATTTCCTTACCACCAAGCCATCAGTGCTCTCGTACACTTTGCTTAGAAATAAAAATGAATTGAACCATCTTTGCCGTGTCATTTAAAAAAGAGCTTCTGGACTGTCGTGAACAATGATCTACAAGAAGGAAACCTGTGATAGATCTCGACAAGACTGCCTCATCCCGGGTCTTAGGATTTCCACTGCTGGTGGATGCATCCCTCTTACCACTTTTCTATCACTGGTTTTAGTAGAAAGTAGTAGTTGCATTCTCCTTCTTCACCATGTCTCTGCCTTACAGAGATTCTGGTTTGGGAGAGGTTCACGTTTTACTGTATCCTGAACTTCCTAAAAGCTCCCACTATGGGTTTTCTGGATTTGGAACCAAGGAAAAACACCTCAGCATGTGGTCTGAAATGGCCTCTTCATCTGCATACGGGCAGGTGCTGAGAGAGCATGAAAGCTTTCTCCGGCAGTGGCACCCAACCCAGTGCAGCCAGCATCAATGTCAGAGCATATACCTAACAGAAACACATTCCAGGTCATTCACTGCAACCTGAGAGGAAGGCCCCATCATTTTGTGAACTAAGTCAATTTAACAAACTGGGTTCAGAGGCAGCACTTCCTGGAAGACCTGCTGCTTATGTACAAGGTCTCTTTCCTAACTGCATTCCACCTTGAGTTGACTAAACGGAACACTCTTCAACTGACAGACATTAAACAAGCCTGACCTACGTATTTCACAAGAAAAACGGCTTCACGTCTACTGGCAATAAAAAGTCATATCCTTTTTAGGGTCCGCCACATGCTAAAAATACACCTATTTCTGTGAAAAACAGAAAAAAAGAATAAGGATTGTTTCCTCATCTTATGGGAAAATAAGGCCTCCTGTGGAAAAGACAGTTGAGAAGAATGCATTTTCCCAGGGAAGACAACTAACCCAACTTCCAGAATATAAAAGAACATCATGCTGTGTTTCAGTACTACAGATCAATAATATAGGCCAACAAGAACACTCTTTTTGTGTCTGTCAAAAAGAAAAATGCATCTTCCTGCCCCATGTAAACATCACAAAAGCCTGGTCAATGGTTTTTATATGAAAAACCTGTTTCGGGTCATCAGATAACGGCAGCAACACAATTTCTCAAAATGAAAAAAAAATGTATATATAGAATATTTTTTTATGTGAACCCAAAGTATCAGCATTTTCCATATAGAACATCCAATATTTTGCTGCATTTTAATTAAGGTGTCTAAACATTATCACAAAGAACTGCAAATTGGTCAGAGCATGCGGTAAGGAAAATTAAGCTCTAAAGGCTTTTTATCACCATATTTCAGGAACCAAGGGTGTAAAATGTTCTAATTTGGGATATATTAAAAGCCATAAAAGGTCTTTCAAAAAGATTAATGGTACTTTGCTTGGATTTAAGATAAGGGCTTTAGCTGGTTGGAAAAGCAGGGCCCTGGCTGGACCCTGGAGGCATTCATCTTTACAGCCACTTGGAAGGTTTGTCAAAAGCGGCTGCAGAACCTCAAGCAAATGCAAGGCGACATTTTTTTAATTCCTTTCAATTTTACAGGTTTAGCGTGTGTAAATCATATTGGGTTGTAAAAGAGATATAATGGCACATCCTTGTAATATAGTAACGATTTTCAAAAGACAAACTTTCAAAATAAAGTTCCTTTTCTGGCAGCATCTTGCGAGCCGAAAGTTAGCTGATAATCATTTGAAGCATCTGATTCAAAACAGCTTAATCCAGCATAGCTGTAAACTTCTTATCCATTTCATAAAATATTTTACTCATCTCAAAATTACTAGCTTGCAACTGATTTATGAAGTTTTCTTCCCTTTTGAACACTTTCAAGGCACTTATTTAAAAATACCAATTATCATACTTTAACTTTTTATGGAATAATAGGTCTCTATGAAAAATATTTATGCCATTCTCTTTTGTTCTTTAATTAAATGAAAACAGATGTTTTCTGAAGTAAAGCGGAACCATTACCGGAGCACTTAAAGTGTTAAGGTCTTTAATTTTTATATCAGTTTGGTCGACAATTCCTGATTGTCTTTACTCAAGCTCAACATTAATGTCAAGCAAGTTACCTAGGAGACGAAAGAGATCAAAGAGACAAAAACCCCTCCACTGTCTGATTAATCAAGCCTGCAAACAGCTTATTTCTTTTAGCCTGCATGCAAGTATGAAAATGAGATTGTGGGAGCCGAACATTGTGCAGATTTGTTCATTCTTATCAGAACAAAGCCAGCGGCAGCTTATTTCATGGATCATTGGCACTGTCATCGGTGCTGCACAGAACGGGTGACAGCTCCTCATTTTGAGGCTTGAACAAAATTAGCAAAAAGTCGGCACAAATTAGCCTCTCATCTTTTTAGTAATATGACATTATTCATTTAC